GATTATCAATTAAACTTATTAAATCATCATAAAAATTTTTTCTTTCTTTTTGAGCTATTTCTTTAATATATTTGATACGAATTTCTTGATCATTAAGATTAAAATTAATTATTTCTTTTAATTGATTATTTTCTGCTATTAATTCATTATTTTTAGTTTCTAATTCTTTAATTAAATTAATATAAAATAATCTTTGCTGTTCAGATTCTTTTAGTTGTTGTTTAAGTTTTTCTAAGTGTCCTTTATAATTATTATAATCATCATTCATAGAAGATATGAAATTCAATTTTTTTTCTAATTTTTCAATAAAATTATTATTTCTAATAATTTGATTATAATGTTTTTCATATATAATAAATTTATCTAAGGATTCAAGAGCATTTTCTAATTCAGGATAATATTTAACTAAAAGATTTACTTTTTCAATAACTTTTAACCCTGTTGCACCTCGTATCTTTTGTTTTTCTTTAATTTCACATTCAATTAATTCAAGGTCTGTATTTTTATATTTTTTTACTAATTTTTTAAATAAACATTTTAAATTTTCTGTATCTGATAGAGTATTATCTTCTTCTGTTGTATTTATTATTTCTATTGTTTCTGTTGTATTTATTGTTTCTGTTGTTTCTGCTATTTCTACTATTTCTGCTGTTTTTGCTATTTCAGTTGTTTCTGCTGCTTTTGTTGTTTCTACTATTTCTGTTATTTCCATTGATTCCATTATTAAAAATTTAATAAATTAAGAATTATTTTAATAAAATTATTAAAAACAACTTATAAATTAAATCATAAATTCTTTTTATAATTTTTTTTTTTTAATCTTCAAAGGTAAAACTATGTTCTTTTTATAATTTTAATAAATTTATTATTTATATTTTATAAATTTATTATAAATAATTAGTAAGCATAAATATGATTAACAGATTTTATTACAATAATATATATAGTGAATCTTTGACCAAAAATATATTTTACATTTATACGATCAAACAATAATCAGATGATTATATAGTGTTTTACACGGGCTGATATTTTTAAGAATTTGATTAAATTCAAATTAGAATTCGAAACTATGTCATGTAAATCCAGATCTAACTATATTTATGCAAGATCATTTTTCGGCAATATAATCCTGACAGGTCATAATTCCAACAGCCCAAAAACCGTTCTAGTATCACCCTAAAAATAGTTATGTATCAGCATTTAAAAGATCAATTCATAACATATTACATATGTATCATATGAGATAAACTAATTTAAGTATTTATTTACGTAACTGATCTTTGGGGTGATACTTGGTTCGTCCAACCCTCAACAGTCAAAATTTTCAAGTAAAAACTCTGGCATATTTAAAGCGAAATAGCCTCTTATAATTTAATGAATTTGGGTTAGAGCACTTGCGATGATTTATTCAAACTATTTATTCAAATTATTTATTCAAATGTAGTTTTTGCCATTGTCTTTTTCTTGATAACATTGCTTATTTTTTAGTATTCCAATAATAGAATAAAGCAATTCGAAAGTTCATTTTCCCAGTCATTCCTGATTAAGTAGGTTTGACTACTAAAATCCGAAAATTTCAAAGTTTAATTGATTTAATGAAAAGAAGGATTGATTTTGAATCTTTATATTTTACTATAGATCCTTTAA